ACTTTTTCAGTTTAGTTCAGTTAAAATAGCTAGGTATGATTAAAGAAAGAGATAAAACTTGTTTAATTCAAAAAAACATATTCAAATATTACATATATTTACATGTAATTGAATAAAATCTACACAAATTTCTCCTCTTTTCCACCACCTTTTTGAAATAAAGCGTAATTTAGAAAGTCAAACAATGTTCCATTAACCGAAGGTTCTTTTGGTCCATTGAGTACAATATAAGGAGCTGTAAATAAAAAAATATATTAAAAAAAAACAAAAAGGAAAGATTTAAAAAATAAATAATCTATGGAAAAGTGTTACAACTTATGAAGGTATATCTTTTTCAACGCCATATAGATTAGTGTTCTTAAAACATATTTTTCCACCTTTGCCCTTTATATCCATGGAGGCCATATAACTTTTCGAAAATACTCTGAGTTTTTAAAAAATAATATAACTGTTAGTTGGTTATTAATAACTTTTTCAAATATTTAATTTAAATAAAACAACCTTTTTAATATATTAAAAATAAATTAATAATCAAAATATAAAACATTTCTAGCATTGAAAAATAATTTTCGGGTGGCCACATAAAATTTTTATAAGAAATTTTATGTGGCCATTTATTAATGGTTTAACGTCCATGTTTATACACTTATGGGGCTTGGACAGGAATCAAATAATGTCATTTGCTATGTTAAATAGCATGCATTTTCTAAAGCAATTTTTTACAATTCCATGCACTTTAAGGCGTTAACCAGTTTTGCAGACCGAGAATGGGTATTTTGAACATTATACATCCATCAAAAATTAAAAAAGCAAGAATTAATGAGGAGCTTTGATCAAATTTTTACCTCTTTAGAGGATAAAAGAGGATTTTAGAAGTGGTTTTAAAAAAAGAGGACTTTAGAGGATTTTAGAGGAGCTGCAGACACCCTGATTATAAATAAGGTTACTCCACCAATTAACTGTAATTGATTTATCTGGAAAAAAAAAAAAATGAAGTAAATCTAATATTATGCTTGTGGAGATATATTATATTGTGGAGAACTATCCAAACCACACAAGTGGAAAATTTGCATCCAAGTTTCCACTTGTGTGCAAATCTTGCATCCACTTGTCAACATTCTCATTATAACATTTTTCTTTTGTAGTTGTGAATTTAAAATTTTCACAATACTGTTTGCTTTCATTTAGAATTGAAATAGTTATACAAATAGTTATATATTTTGTATCAACAAAATAACTCTTCTTACCACATTATTTAAAAAATAATAATTGTAATATATAGATGAAATACCTTAAGAAAATGTAGTTTTTATTTGTATAAACTTAAGCCAATTCTTCTCTGCATTTTAGTGCAGTCAATGCTTTGGTACCTGGAAGCCGACAAACAGTTTTATCACTAATTCAATCAGATGGAATTACTTCTTTTTGTAAATCTTCATTCCAAACAGCTCCTTTCCGCATATTCGATTTTGAAAAAATTACATGAACTAATATAAAATGAAGAAACCATAATATAAGTGTACTAACAGGCCTAATTAAACTAGCTAAATTTGAACATTTTATAACCATGATACTTGCTAAACAATAATATTAGTAGACATTATAAGCAAAGATAAGATTTTCTTTATTTTATAAATTTATTATATTTTAAACTCATTTTTACTAATTTATTTATTACTCTTTTATTCAGCAGAGTTCTGAATATATTATGTTCAAATAACTTAAGGCTCAATAACAAAGTCAAATAATGAAAGAATACTAGGTTGCTAAAACATAAGCATCTACATAAGATAATTATGGAATATTGAAAAAAAATAGAAATACAAAAAAACAAAAATACTCATTATTAATATAAAATATAATAGTATAATATAAGGTATATTATAATATATGAAACAATAATATCTACTTTTAATTAAAATATAAAAACAACAAAAATTAAAAAAGAAAATATTTTGATAAATAATAAATTATCATTCAAACAATTTTCAAGACCAAAAAATAACTTATTTTTTTACTTATCTTTATCTTTCTATCTCTTTAATAAACATTACTTATTTTTTACTCATCTTCATCTAATAAACATTAATATTAATACCAATTTTAAACATTATTAGAATTTTTTTTTATCAAAAAATAAAAATATTACATCAGTTACTTTTTGGGCTTTTCTTATTTTACTTAAAACATCAACTCAATTCTAGGCTTTTTTCATTATTGAGTTTTAATTTGTAATGTTGAATTAACACTGAAAAAAAAAAATATTAGCAGACAAAAAGAAAATATTTCTTTATTAAAATATATGTAAATATTTCAATAAAGAAATTTTAGATCGATTTTTATAAATATAAATTTATATCAATCAATCTAAATTTTTTTCTTTTCCGCCACCTTTTCGAAATGAAGAGCATTTTTAGAAGTTAGACAAAATGCCATCAATTAAAGTTTCAGTCGCTCCATCGTATTTAATAGAAGAAGCTGTTAATAAAAAAGAATTCAAAAAAAAAAAAAAAAAAAAAAAAAACACAAGGAGAAATTTTTGAATAAATAAAAAATGAGAATAAAAAAGTTTTACATATCTTATAAAGGTATACCTTTCACTACACCGTATAAATTAGTGCTCTTAAAGCATATTTCCACCTTTCCCCTTTATATTCATGGATGTCACAAAATTGTTGGAAAATATTCTAAATTTTAATAGATAAGAGAACTGATATTAATTGTGCGAGAACTAATATTAATTTTTTTTTTTAATTTAAATTGAACTCATTATCAAACAATTTTTTTTGCTAAATAATTTAATCCTTAAAATTCCTGAATAATTAAAAATTATTTTGATTACCTCAGCATTTTAAAGATATTCCATCAATTGCAATTGATTTACCTAAAAAAAAACAACAAGTAAAGCTAATATTATTGTTTGAAATTTTAATTATCTTTATACAAATACTCATCGTATTTTTAATATGACTGATAAAAATGGGTTTAATTAAAATCACTTCATTTGTATTAAAAAATTAATATTAAAGCCTTAATCATACATTATACAAGAGTATTTTGTAATACAATATAAATAAATGTTGTGATATGTAATTTTTTTATCCAAAATTTAGCTTCTGTAAACTTTAAAAATTTTTTAAAGAATATATTGATGAATTTGGATCTATGGGTACTAATGTTTTTATATTGTTGTAATGTTTGTATTCATTCCCTGTTAGTTTCTGTAAGTCAAAATTTTAAGGTGTCTCCATAATAAATTCTGTTATACCTGAAATTTACTGTTAGTCTAAATAATTTAATTTCTAAAATCTGTTTTGCATTGCCTGTCTTATAACATCTTTACTTGGAACAAAAACCATGTGGCTTAAAAGTGAGCTAGAAGCTTTCAACAATGAAGAAAATATTGCATTCACTAATCCTAAAAATATATTAAACCTGTCAGCAAAATCAGCTGTCAATAATCCAAGTATTAGCATCATTAAAAATTCATCTTTGCTGCATTACATTTATTTTGGTCCAAGTAGTTAAAGACTTTTTTAAATTTCAAAAAACAGAAGTAAATATTTTTTTTAATACCACTTTATCTCTTTTGATTAATGGTGATACTGCACTAACTGATGAAACACATTGACAGATGTAAGGCCAGTATAAAAGTCGCAAGATCTATTATTTTTAAAATAAATGTTTGTATACAAGTAAATTGCAATAACACGATTTGTTTGGATTATGTTTATATACAAGTTTGTCTGTTTTCATAGTAATAACTGATGTGGTTGAAGTTAATTTTTCAAATAAATCTTTATTTTTTTATTTCGTGCTGAAGTTCTTTTTTATCAATTTTCTTTTTTAATTCTTGATGCTCTATTAAAAAACAACGCTTAGCATTAAATTCAACATAATTTAATGGATCATTTTTTGAAAAAGTTGTATTATATTTACATTTAATAATATCAGTCTTTGAGCATTGTAGCCCAAGTTAAAAGAAAAATATCGCTTTTTAAACGATAATGTTCTTTCAGGAAAATCGTCTGAACATGTTTTCGATCTCTTGAAAATTCTATATGATATAAGTTCAGTAGTTACATTTTTTTTTCCATTATAAATCTCTATAACTTTAATCGTTGAAATAATGTTTACGATTTTACATTTCTGCGCACGCATAAATTTTATATCGTATTTTTTGTCAACAATGATTGAAATAATGACGTTAAAATAACGTTAAATAATCAACGTTTAAACTGTAACGTTAATTTAACGTTGAAATAACGTTAAATAATCAACGTTTAAACGGTAACGTTGATTTAACGTTGTGACATAGTTGAACAACGTTGAATCAACGCTTCAACCGAATTTCAACGTTGAAACAACGTAATAATGCCGGCTGGGATATATATATATATATATATATATATATATATATATATATATATATATATATATATATATATATATATATATATATATATATATATATATATATATATATATATATATATATATATATCAGGGGCGGATCTAGGGTAAGTCTAGTACGTCTTAAGATGTACCCAAAAAAATATTAAATAAATAAAAAAAAAATTAATTTACGTTTCAATTATAAAAATAACTTTTTTGGTTAAAATAAGATTTAATTTTATAGGCACTTGTGAAACAAGAAATACGAACGGTTCTTGTTTAAAGTTCTTGTTAAAAAGATATCTGTCTTTGCCGGAGGTTTAAGCAATTCTTGATAAATAATATTTAATTAAATAAACGAATGGACGTTCCCAATTTTATTTTATTATAAAATAAAAAATTATTTTAAGTTTGTATTTAATTTGTTAAAACAATAAATAAATAATATCTTTACTGATAATTATTTTTGGGCGTCCCCAAATTGGTACACCCTTATTAAAATATTGTCAAAATCTTTTGTTTTAAGACGATCAGGAGGTAAAACTAATGATAATACCCTATAAATAATAAGATACACCAATAGACGTCCCCAATATTGTTTTATTTTATTATTTATCTTTATATTTAATTTAGTTTTCAATATTTAATTTCTAAATACTCGGTTTCTTTTATAAAAAAACACTGCCGGACGTCCCTTCGTTAATACACCCTGAAATACATGTCTTATTCCTAATATTTAAAATGTTGTTTAATGTTAAAAATTCAAGCATTTATTTGTGTGTTCGAGTATTAATTTAAAATGTCACTCAATCAAGAAGTTAAAAACATTATGCTACAAAATGATGAAACAAAATTGATCGCTTTGAAAGATATATTACAAAAAAATATTAGTTCTTGTAATAATACGATTCTTGTCGACTCTTTCGAAGAAGAAAAAACTCTTAAAAATTTTGAAATCTATCTGCCAAAGAGTTTTAAAGAAAAACATAATGGCAGTTATGTTGTTTTAAGGTAAAGGTATTTGTTCAAATTCCATGATTTTTTTAATAACTTTTTGGTTAGTTGTAATGTTATATTGACTGTAAGCTAGTTGAAAATACTTATAAATTTTTTATATAAGTTCATTAATTATTATATTTTATGTTTATCTCAGGTCTCAATCAACTGGAAACTGTCTGTACAGTTCTATCTCCTTACGTCTTACTGGAAATAACTGTATAGTTAACGATTTAAGATTACAGACCTCAATTGAGCTATTCTTAAATGCCGAGTTTTATTCTAACCATCCAACTTTTCATTATGCTTTTATTAACAATACTAGCTCTTTTCTTTGCTATGATAACATTTTTCCTTTATCAGTATCACTAAATTCTTTGGATTCTGGAAAAAAAAGTAAAGATTTAGTTCAAGAAGAAGCTATTAACAATTGTAACAATGAAAACTGGTCTTCTTTCCTTTGTATTCTTGCATTATCAAGTGTTTGCAACAAGAAAATAGAATGTTTGTATCCAGATTTTGGTCTACAGAAGTATAAAATTTTATTCAGCTCAACTATTTTACCTCGTATAACTTCCTTAAACACTATTGAGTCTTTACATCTCCTTTTTTGTTATGAAGGTGTATTAAATGATTTTTCCGCTCCTTTTCAACACAACCATTATACCCCTGTGATAATAAAAGAAAACTTAAAACGAAAAAATTTAAACAAAAGCTGCAAAATGTCGCAGACTAAAATAAAATTTTATTTCGAGACCAAACATTAAGATAATAACTATTCGTTGGACAATTTAAAAAGTAAACCAATGGAAGTCTCTAGTCAACCCCCATTATCATTATCAAATTTTAGTAAAATTACATGTTGCGAATCATTTTCTTTACCTTCCAATAACTATGATATTGGTTATTTGGTTTCTAACTATACTAGTTATTCAAGTATTGCAAAAACCTTGAGTAATTCTGAACTTCAACATTTAGTTAAAGATGTTTTTGTACCTTGTAAAACATTTTCTTTTCCTAAAAATCTTAATGGGCGAAGTTTTCAATTTATGTGGATAGAAAAATTTCCATGTCTCACATATTCGAAAATATTCGATGGAGCCTTTTGTTTGCCATGTGTACTTTTTGGGTGTAATTTTCCATCTGAATGTAGTTTAGTCGAAAGATTATTTCGTAAGCCTTTTGATCGCTGGAATGATGCTTCTCGTTACTTTCAGAAACATGCATTTGGCAAAAACAATAATAAGTCTGTCTGCAGAAATAAAGGCTTACATGTAAAAACTGCTGAAGTTTTATTTTCATTGTCGTCGATTTGGTCTTCTAAAACAGAATCAATAGATATTACATCTCAAAAAATAGTTCAATCACAGGTTTCTAAAAACCGACAGTTATTACAACCAATTATTGAAACAATTATTCTCTGTGGACGTCTTGGTCTTTCTTTACGAGGCCATAGAGACGATTCAGAGTTTCATCCTGAAAATAGTGAGTCTTTTAATCATACTGTTGGAAATTTTATTGAATTATTACATTTTCGTGTTAAAGCTGGTGATAAAGTTCTTAAAGATCATCTTAAATATCGTCAACAAAATGCTTCTTACATATCTAAGACATCACAAAATCAGTTAATAAGGTGTTGTGGAGAAGTTATTACTGACACAATAATAGGAGAAATTAAAAATTCTAAATATTTTTCTATTATTGCTGATGAAGCTTCTGACAGTTCAAACAAAGAACAGCTATCATTAGTTATACGGTTTGTTGATTCAAAGTTTAATATAAGAGAAGAATTTATCAGTTTTTTACATTGCACAAAAGGTGTTACTGGTCAAGGATTATTTGATATTTTGTTAAAAAGTATTTCAGATTTTTCTTTAGATATCATGAATTGCAGAGGACAGTCATATGATGGTGCTGGAGCAATGGTTGGTCACACCAAAGGATTGTCCTCTCGTATTTTAATTCAAAATGAAAAAGCTACATTTGTTCATTGCTAAAGTCATAGGCTTAATTTAGTTATTTGTGGCTCGTGCAATGTGCAATATGTCAAGAATCTTCTGGCATATGTTAAAGAGGTATCATATTTTTTCAATCTTTCACCTACCAGACAACAAAAGTTAGAGGAACACATTGAATGTACTGTTCCAATAGCTGTTAAAAAAAAATTAAAAGATGTTTGCAGAACACGTTGGGTGGAAAAAGTAAATGTTTTAGATACTTTTCAAGAACTTTTTATTCCTTTGGTCTCTTGTCTTGAAGAAATGTCTTTAAATGCCAATAAGAGTTTTAATCATTCAACAGCTTCTAGTGCATCATCCCTTCTGAAACTAATTACAGGTTTTGATTTTATTGTTGCTATGTGCATAACAAGAAATGTGTTTGACTTAACTCTTCCCATAACGCGAATGTTGCAGTCAAAGAGTTATGATATTTATGATGGTTTGAATCTTATTCGGGCGTTAAAAGATGTTGTGATTTCACTTAGAAAGATTGTTGATCAACACCATAAAATGTGCTATGAACAGGCTTTAAAAATTGCACAAAGTAATAATGTAGCTGAAGCAAAGCCAAGAACTTCATTTATTTCCAAAAACAGAGATAATACTCCTTCTGAATCTATTTCTGATTATTTTAAGTTAGTTATCACGATTCCTTTATTAGACCATCTAAGTGTTGAACTAGACACAAGGTTTGATGATACTACCTTAAAATGTTATAAAGCACTTGTGCTAGTTCCTACAAAAATGATTTCAGTAATGCAATGTTCTCATGACACCAGTTGGAAAGACTCCATCATATCTTTCAGTGACTTTTACGCAACAGACTTACCGAATCCGCTTGCTTTGTCTGGTGAGCTTGATTTATGGGAAGCCTTCTGGTTAAATTTTGAAGGAGATGTCCCTTCTAATATTTCCGAGACGTTAAAAGCAATAAATTTTTATGTTTTGAAAACATAAAAGTTTGTCTTAAGTTACTTGCTACCTTTCCATTAACTTCATGTGAGTGTGAGCGGACATTTTCTTCACTTCGGCGCCTAAAAAATTATATGCGAAGCACCATGGTTCAGGACCGTCTAAATGGTTTAGCATTAATGAATATTCATTCAGAAATAGTTATAGATATCAATAAAGTCATTGATAAGTTTGCCACTAATAATCGTAGATTAACTTTCAAATAAATATAAAATATATTAAAAAAAAATTTTTTTAATAAAAAAATGCAAAATACTAAAAAAAAACAGTGCAAAAAAAGTCAGCTTCTTTTGCCAATGGTAAAAAAAAAGGCTATTTTCATAGCCACACACTTTTATAAAACATTATTTGGCATAAAGGAATTATTAACATACATTGAGTTGCATACAGGTTGGTTTCAGGTATATCGTTTTTTTTAAACTATGTTGAAATGATTATATTGTAAATGTTTTATCTTTTGAACTGATTTTTTTAGATTTTATATATTTTGCAAGCATCAATAGAATTAAGATTTTAAAATCTACTTTTGCTATGCAAAATAAAATACTAAGATTGTGGCAATTTCTGTATATATAATTCAACTTTAATTATTATAATATATAGTTATTTCTGTTATTTATATTTGTTACAATATAAACAAATTATATAATTATTTACAATAAAAATATAAAATGTGTAAGTTTATAATTTAATAATGAAATGTGTAAATATAAATCTAGTTTGTCATAATAAGTTTGTAAATATTATGTAAACATAATTTTACTATGGTAAGGTGCCCAAGCGATATCCTTGCGTATTTTTAGGCCTATATATATATATATATATATATATATATATATATATATATATATATATATATATATATATATATATATATATATATATATATATATATATATATATATATATATAAATATATATATATATATATATATATATATATATATATATATATATATATATATATATATATATATATATATATATTAACAGGGCCGTCACTAGGAGAGGGACTTGTAGTCTGCAAGTTTGGAACTATAGTCGGCATATGTCAGTAAACGAGAATCATACGTCACCTTCTCCCCCACCCCCTCCTCCTTTTTTTTCTTCGGGACGGCCCTGAAATATATCCCCTCCAACTCCAGAATAGTTGAGGGGGGGAGGGGGAGAATGAAATGTTGCTCTTAAAAAAATCAGATGTACCCAAATAATTTTCTGGATCCGCCCCTGTATATATATATATATATATATATATATATATATATATATATATATATATATATATATATATATATAGTCTTGCATGTCTCTTGCGTAGCATCAAAAAATATTTCCCATAAACTGTAGTTTTAAAGAGCGCGTTAATAAACCAGACCAGAAAAAGTTTTAAAAATTAAATTTTTTTTTTTAATTGATAGACTGCCTGGCCAAACCAAACCCTCAGTCGATGTAGCAGCACTCTCTTGCGAGTCAGGCTATTTGTCAGTCGTTGTAGCAGCACTCCCTTGCGAGTCAGGCTATTTGTCAGTCGATGTAGCAGCATTCCCTTGCGAGTCAGGCTATTTGTCAGTCGATGTAGCAGCACTCCGTTGCGAGTCAGGCTATTTGTCAGTCGATGTAGCAGCACTCCGTTGCGAGTCAGGCTATTTGTCAGTCGATGTAGCAGCACTCCGTTGCGAGTCAAGCTATAAGATAGTCGATGTAGCAACATTTACGCATGTTTAAAAAATGTTTTTTATTAAATCAATAACAAAAACACTACTAATTAAAAAAAACTTTCTAGTCGTTATAATTGCGGTTTTTTAAAAATTTGTTAAAAAACAATTAAATTTAATGTACTTCCGCATAAATTAATTGCTTTGACATTTCGACGACAATCAAAAACAGCTTAAGAGACGAGTAATTAAAATTGTAGTCGTAAGAGACTTTTTTTACATTAAAATGCTCTTAAAGAGACACTATATGAGTATATATATATATATATATATATATATATATATATATATATATATATATATATATATATATATACATATATATATATATATATATATATATATATATATATATATATATATATATATATATATATATATATATATATATATATATATATATATATATATATATATATATATATATATATATATATATATATATATAACCCAGTAAGCACAAGACGCATTCCCAGTAAGCACAAGACGCATTTTAGACACTTATAGACGTCTAAAACTAGTCTAGGTAAATACGCACTTTTATAGACGTTTTGAAGACATCTTTTAGACGTATTTCATAAATGCGTTTTTACAATGACGTTTAAAAGGCGTGTTTTTAAAAGATAAAAAGACGTCTAGAAGACGTCAATTTTTAAGACATTTTCTAGACGTCTTTTATAAAGACGTTTTTAAAATGACGTTTAAAAGGCGTCTATTTAAGCGTTAAAAAAACGTCTATAAATACTGTAATGATATATATTTGTTATTGTTGTATATTATTTTCATCCTTGATGCATCGACCGTTTGTGGTGATTACAGCTATATTATTTTGATTGCTGGTTCCTAAGTATATTTTGTATATACGGAATTATAACATTATATGATTTCATAAATACAATGAATATATACCACATACTACGTGAAAATGTTACGTGATGTACTAAAATTTATTTTGAAAAAAACGTCTAAAATACGTCTAAAACGCGTTTTTATAAAAGCGTCTTTATGTAGACGTTTTTTAGCCTTATGATCTAGACGTCTACAAGTGCGCCTTTTAGACCTCCTTAAAGACATCTTTAAAACGTCTTTTAAACGTCTTTGTGCTTACTAAGAGGTAAGGAGAAACAAGAGCGAACAATTGTCTTAAAACTACGTGATTACGAGGACAAAAAAACAATCATGAAAAAAGCAAAACAATAAAACAGACCCAATATTTTTCTAAACGAAGATTTAGTTTTAAAACGTGATAAATCGAAAATAACTTTTTGATAAAACGAAGATACATCGTCAAAATGGCTATTACGCAAAATTTGTTTACAACAAATATATTGTTTATGATTTTTGAGAAAGCACCGAAACACAATTGTTAATTAGACAAGCGTAACTTTTTAGTATATATATATATGTATGAATGTATATATATATATATATATATATATATATATATATATATATATATATATATATATATATATATATATATATATATATATATATATATATATATATATATATATATATATATATATATATGTAGATATATATATATATATATATATATATATATATATATATATATATATATATATATATATATATATATATATGTATATATATGTATATATATGTATATATATATATATATATATATATATATATATATATATATATATATATATATATATATATATATATATACATATATATATATATATATATATATATATATATATATATATATATATATATATATATATATATATATATATATATATATATATATATATATATATATATACATTTTACATTCCTATAATAATCTTTAAACATATATATTAAAAACAAAAATATAAAAACGGCGATCTTTTTCACAAAAACTAGATTTTATAGTTTTTATTTTAAATCTTTTCGGGGACAACTTTATAAATAACCTCTAGAAAACAGAAATATTTTTCAAGAAACTCAAATGAACGTAAATAACACACAGTGTACTGATCCTTTTGATTTTAAAGAATTAAAAGATGAATGCTCATTTTCTGTATTGCATATATATATTAGAAGCATGAAACATAATTTGAATAAATCTGAAGATTTTTTAAATATTTTAAACAACACGTTTGAGATCATATCTTATTTGAAGACATAGCATTATACAGAAAGTTCTCTTGAATCATGGAAGTGTAAAACAGAAGGAAGTTCATCGAGCCGCAAACACCAAAGCAATTTCTAGTCGTCTCGGGAGTATGCTTGTAACCGACAATAAAAAGAAAACAAGTTTCACTGGATAATAAAACAACAAAATTCACTGAA